GTACTGTGTGTGTGGTGGTAGGACATATGTAGGAGCTCCGTGTTTTTCGTCGAAAAACAGGGTTTTTCCAGGAGTACCCAGTCTGATTTCTAGGAAATCTGATTTGTGAGTGACTAGTGTATAAGAGCGGGGAACACGCTGCCACCATTATAAGGGCGGGGATTTTCTTCTTCTCCCTTATATTCTTAATTCAACTTCTTTCTGTGTCTTATTTCCTTCATGTGATCTGTCTAATTATTTAATTTCATAGTTGCTTCATAACCTCAGTCCTTTGGTAGCATGGCGAGAGTTAGGGCACATGGGTACTGTAATTATGGTATCAAATTATTGGACAAAAATAAAGGTGAATACTGAGGGGAAAAGATACCCTTAATATACTCTAAGAAAGGGTTTATTAATATGAAATTAAATTAGGGAAGAGATGTCATTAACATACAACTACAAGGTTTAACTCCTCGGCTTTACTCAACTCCAATTCCACTTAGATACTCCTTACTTCTTACAACATTACTGGTGGTACATTACATTACATACAGCTACATGGCAAACATACATATGGTACCTTCACTAGAACTGTTGTTAGTACCTATGGAGGATGCACTCACAACACAACACGTTATTACTGATACTAACAATTTATATGGGTTCACTACCCAACAAGGGATAATTATATTCCAGATAATTATCCCCAACCATATATAACAAACATTGTGGACCATATAACTGTCCGGAGTGTCCCATGGTAGAACACTGGCGTCTCAACAAATGAAGATCGCTGTTATGGTCGGTTGAAGTCTGACACGTGGCGAAAGTCTGGGGTCTAGTTCCCAAGACTGGAGCAGTTTAATCCTGCCGAATCAGTGACATCGTCAAATACCGCTAACTGTTAGGTAGCCACCGACCCCGGGCAGCCGGTGAGGTGTTCAAATAACCCACACACTGGATTTGGGATAAATTTGGAAGTCGTGAAGGAAGGGATTTCTCCTTCACGCGCAGGTTTATATACGGCCTGAGTTGCCAGAGGTGGCTACTCACGCAATGACAGAAATTACATTCAAATCAACTGCTACACGTTCAAAGATGACCCTCAGTTGACACGGGTCTGGCAAATTTCTTAAGTTGATTTACACAAACTAATCTGAGATTGAGCTTGCCAGGAAAAGGTGGAATATACACGTTGACAACTGAAGTACCCCAAATGGGCGGGACTTATGGAGAGGGAAAACGCGTTTCTTCCTAGGGATAACTCACCAGATATCCACATGTTTTGCGGGCGTGAAGAGTAATATTAATCATCAGATTTCAAACAGACCAGCCGTCATTGTGACCATGACAAGTGAGTGTCGTGACCAGTACAATATCTATCTGTGATTCCCCTAAGTAGATATATTTGTCAATTTACTAGAGAATCTGTGTCTACCAAGTGAGGTGTAGCCCACCAAACTCCCCTCAGTGCCACGGCTTGTAATCTGAGGCCTGTCCACCCCCACCGTCCACCCTCCCACCAGGCCACAAAGCTGACCACACAACTAGACCGTCTCCATACTGCCAGCTACTCAGCCCTCACTAGCTAAAATATGTCTAAGTTAGCTGCTAGTATCAAACATTCAAATTTCACGAAACAACAGCTGACTGATATGATAATGGAAGTCCAATGGACTCTTTTACGGGACATCATACAACAAATGAATAAGGAGACCATCAGGAAGCTAGAAGAAGCTGACCAACGCCTCACTAACCAGCTAAGTGAGATTGAAAGAAGCTTGGAACTCTCGCAAGGGGAAATAAGTGACTTAAAAAAAAGTTGAACGTTGAAACTAAAGACATCCGAACAGTCAAGACCCAAATTCAACAGCTGAGTGAGGAGAATTCCAAGCTCAAAACGGAACTAACAACAACACCAGACCGGGTGGATTATGTGGATGACATAGGGCGGCGAAACAACCTGCAGATTGCCGGAGTCGCCGAAGATGCCCACGAGAACTAGGAGTCATTCCAGCGCAAAATTTCACCCCTGCTGAATGAACATTTTAAACTTCCTGAAGTAAAGTTTGACCGTGTTCAACGCGTCGGGAAACCCAACTCCTCCCGCCCCTGCGACATCATAACAAAATTATCATCCCCCTCTGACCGTGACAAAGTGTTTCATCAACGCAGTAAACTGAAAGGCACCACTATCTTCGTCAACGACGACCTCTGCCCAGGTATGACTAAAGCCCGTCTACAGCAAATGGAACAGTTTAAAGACGCCAGGAAACAATGGATACGCGTGACGTTCAGTCATAAAAACCTTGTTGTGAGGGATCGGGCAAGTGGACACCCACCCGCTGTACCAACCCCCTCGAGAACCCCCTCCCCACTGAGGAAGAACCAGCCACTGTCGCTATCACCTGAGGAGTTTACCCCCCTGCCGGCAACTCGAGTACTACACGTCCACCCTCTGTGGTGGAAACCAGCAACCCTCAAAACCGAGTGACAGGCGCACCTCCCACTCAATCTGGGAATCATCCTCAACAGTACCGGTCATCCTAATTCTGTTGGTTGTAGCACTTGTGAGTACGTTACCCCCACACTATTATAACTCTCATAGATCTTCCTTTTTCACACCTCAGTGACCCTGAGGTTTTACTGTTCCTTAATCAGTATCAATGTTCCTACAATGATGTTGCAAGTGTCATTCCCTTAGATGTGCTAGATCATTTGTGTTACACCCCCTTTACCCATGGTGTCGACACAATACTCCCTCATATCGATCTGATGCCTTTCTACAAGACTCACTGGGTTACACCAACCCAAACTGTAACTATTACTTTCCTTCATCACCCGAGTTTAGTCTAGTCTCCTACTACCTCATTCCTTCTCCTTGATTAGTCATAACATCAGCAGTATTCCCCTTCATCTAGAAACCTTTTTAGATCAGTGTTTATCTTCTATTGCCCACAAATTTGATGTACTTGGGTTCTGTGAGACCGAACTCACTAACGATATTGATCATTTGTATAACATTCCTAATTATAATACACACTGCGTCAACACGTCACGACACAGTGGTGGTGTCGTGCTATATGTTGATATCAACTATAACACTATTAATATCAGAAGCCGACACCTCAGTATTAGACTTTCTTGCTACCTATCATTCTAAACTCTTCTTCTACAAGAGCTTGGAACTCTTATAACAAATTTTACGTTAATACTCTGACCTGTGGTAGCGTGACGCGAGAGGTTAAGCCCATGGGTACATGTAATTATGGTATCAAGAACTAGGAAAGATCAACGGCAATACTGTAGGTGAATAATAGACCCAACATACAAATACAATAATTTATTAAAGACACAAAATGGTTATATGCACCAAAATAGGAACTCCTTGTACTCGCCCTCAGGCTCAATTTACTTACACCACGACTGGGTGTACACACACAATAACACACATAAACTCTCACAGCACCTTAGCACCATTAAAACCAGTGGCACTTGCCAGTACAACACTCAACACCCCAGGAGTAATACTCAAGCGGCCGCCATGGGAGTCTCATCACCACGTGACGGTCGGGATTCATAGAGATAACCGATTCTAC